TGCAGTGCATAGAAACCGACGAATTCCCTTCATCCTTAGAAGGCCTCGAAGTTCTCTTGATTCAGTGTAATTGCACCAAACTAGATGTCCTTCTTTAGTCCGTGTCTGCACTTTGGATCGACCTGCAAAGCCCCGAGGTGGGTCCTCGGGGTAGACACTCCGATGCTTAAGTCAGCAATAATCGGGGCTACCTCTAGAGCGAAGATAAAAGGAGTTTAGGGTTGGTTTCAATTACCTTTTTGATGTGGCCCTTAGGGGGTATTTATAGATTTCAATGAGGAACCCACGTGGCATGCTAAGCAAGATATTCGGGATCTGATGTGTATCTCCAGACGGTTATTTTGAGACCAAGAATTTAAGAGATATTCAGATGTAAAGATGTCTACCGTAACTGCTGTGCAGCTCATCATAAAGGATCAGGTGCGTGCATGCTTACTGTAGCTGCTAAGCGAGAATCTTTGGATTTATCCTTCACTTCGGTCATAAAGAAATTACTATCGTCCGTCCGAGGTTGGGCACCTCGGACCTGTCCTTACATTCAGACCATGACAAAAGGCAAGGTTCCTCCCGGTTCTTTCACGATGACCATCTTCGCATCATTCATGGGATTGATAAAAATATAGATGAAGTTTGTGTCAGAGCATTTGAAGATATGCTGGTGCAAGTGAAACAGAGTAAAGTAAATGCGGATGCTGAAGACAGGTGAGAACAAGGTATGAATCTCCTGTTCCGGTGGTCCCACTTGAAGTTTCGGGGTTGGTTATAGCCGGTGTGAATTCGGAGTCCGCTCAACTCGATCTTGGAGTTCAAAGGCGAGCTATGAACGATCAAATCAGGGACATAATAAGCCATTTGCAGGTTAGTAAAACTTCTGGAAAGGAAGATAAGAGGGAAGTTGAAGTTCCAGCTGATGACAGGACTATTTTCTTGACATTTTCTAAAGGGTACCCAATTTCAGAGAAAGAAGCTAGAGACTTCTTTTCAAGGTAATAATGTCAAGAAGGTGATTTTTCCTCTCTGAAAACTTGAATCGCCGGTTGCTAATGATTTCAGTTATGTCTGTGAACAGGAAGTTCGGCTACTGCATTGAAGCAATTCATATGCAAGAAGTACCAGCAGAGGAGCGGCCATTGTATGCACGGTTGGTGGTGCACCTTCCTTCCTCCCTCGAGAAGATATTAGGAAGAAGTCGCAAAGCCAAAATCTCCATTGGTGGGAAGCATCTTTGGGGAAGGAACTATGTGCTTAAAAAACAAAAGTCGCCACGGCCTTCATCAACTACATCTTATACCCCAACATCTCACTTTGTTTTGGAACTTCAAAACTAACAATAGTTTTATTTTTATTTTTATAACAAATGGCCCTAAGAGGTGTAAGGATATGTCCGAGGTTAAGGACCTCGGACGTACTGCTATAATTCCTTAATAACCGA